CCTGATGAGGTAACATGATCTTTCTACAATCAAACAAAAGCTAAGCATGCAGCACCAGAGCATTGCTTGCCGTGTTTCAAATTACTGTAATATTTTCCTTCTGTTATTTTTAGGTCACATTTTTAGTTTCTGATAATTTATTATGCTTTAATTGTAGGATACAATTCTTCCAGATCTCAGCTACAGCTCAAGAGGTATTTTTTTTTAGTGATGTCAAATTTTGTAAAATTAAAATTCCATATATGTCATCTAATTAGAATTTAACTTCCAATCTTGTCATATATAGATTGATTCTTTACAGGGAAAGATACACTTGTAGGGATTATACTGTATGTAGTTAAAATTTTACTATAAATTAGGTTTATATTCATTTTGTTTTATACACATTTTTATGTATGGATTTATGAATATAGAACATAGTAATATATTAATATAAATGTGTATACCAATTCAAAAATGTCATCTCTTATTTCAGATCACTTGTAAGCCAATTTTGTTTTTTTAATTATTTGTTCTTATATGATTGCATTTTGTTAAACTTGACAGATGGATATGAATGATGAACACGATGAAGAACTTAATCTCATTGTTATAATGCTTGTTAACATTGTAGCTTATTTGCATAGAGTATACTATTTAACACACTTTGATAGGAGGCCACAACGTAATTGTTATTTGACTCAACGTGAATTTGTCAATGATGTCACACGATCCAATGAACATTGTCATAACTTATTGCGCATGAATGTGGAATCCTTTCAAAGATTTGTATATATATTTAGAGGAATCGGGAGGCTGAAAGACATTGTGCATTATAGTATTGAGGAGCAACTTGCAATGTTTTTACACATTGTATCTCACAATGTTAAGAATCGTAATGCAAAATTTTATTTTAAGCGATCCGGCGAAACCATATCTTGACATTTCAATAGTCTTAGATGCAATCATAGGCATGGAAGACAACTTTTTAAAACAACCTACTCTTGGAACAGAGACGCCTAATGAGATTCGTGACAACAACAGAATGTGGCCATATTTTAAGGTATTTTCTTACTAAAAGAAATTAACTTATTAATTAAGAATACATATTTTTTTAACTCACAGGTCGTTCCCTTATTATAGGATTGTGTGGGAGCAATTGATGGTACACATCTCCCCGCGAAAGTTCCCATTGAATATGTAGCAAGATTCCGTGGTAGAAAACAGTGGCCCTCACAAAATGTATTAGCAGCATGCACATTTGATTTAAAATTCACTTATGTGTTAGCTGGATGGGAAGGTTCAGCGGTCGATTCTAGAATTTTACATTGTGCTACGCACAGAGGACATAAACTTACACGTCCTCCAGGTATATATATAAGTTAATAGTATTCATAAATATTTTTTAAATTTATAATAATTTACTAAAATTACGTGTTGTAATTTATATAGGTAAATACTACTTGGTAGATGCAGGCTTTCCTTTATTGGAGCATTATATTACCCCATTCAAAAGTACACGATATCACCTAAACGAAATACGAGGACGTGTACCTAAAACGCCAAAGGAATTGTTCAACCATAGGCATTCTTCTTTACGGAACGCAATTAGCCTTTGGGGTGTTAAAAAAACGTTTTCGTATCCTAGTGGATGAACCAATGTTTGGCTTTGAAAATCAAGTAAAGTTGGTAATCGCTTGTTGTATAATACATAACCACATTCGAGGAGTGATGCCAGATGATCCACTTTTAAATGATGTTGATCACGAGATTGGCACTCAATCAGCTCCTATTCATGATCCTGTTGACAATCAATTGACTAGGGCTGAAGATGGAAGGGAAGGAAAGAGAATTCGAACACAAATAATGAATGAAATGTGGAATGATTTTAGTAGTAGACACTAATAGGATTTTTATTGATGTGTATTTTTTCTTTGTTGGAAACTTGTGTGGTTTTGATTGTTAGACAATTTTATTATTGGAATGTAAATATGTTTTTATTTTATTTTATCATCATAGTATTTAATTGTTGATTATATTAATTGTAGTTTTCTAGTCATTTTTCTACCAATATACATTTATTGCTTGTTGAATATATAATTATGAGCATTTTATATTAGGAATGGAGCAAGACGGGTTTAATTGTCACATTGGAGATGCCAAGAAAAAGTGAAAGAATGTAATATGGTCAAAAGAGATGGATCAATGTCTTATTTTGGGACTTGTGCATCAAGCTAACGAGGGTTATAAGATAGATAAAGGTTTTAAAGATCATGCTTATACTGCAGCTTGTTCAGTGTTAAATTCAAAATTTCACTTGTCACTAAATCGAGAGCATTATGTTAATTGCTTAAAGACTATCAAAAAAAAGTATACATTCATTCAGGAAATGTTAAGCAAAAGTGGATTTGCTTGGAATCCAGTGATGAAAATGGTGGAATGCAGCGACCAAGTGTGGACTACATATGTTGCGGTATGTAGATGTTTAAAGTAAAGTTTTAATTGATAATATATTTCTTAGTTTATTTGTGTAGCATGCTATTTTGAACATAGTAGTGTTTTTCAATTTAATTATATATTGTAATATATGCCACAATTTACTTTAGTCATCACTAATAAAATAGGAATAAATAAAAGGAGAAAAGAGGTGCAATATGTCTGTTTATACTTTGAATATACTATGAGCAAGTCACTATTCTAAGCACAACCCAGCAAGAATTTATTGAATCTTATCTTCCATAGTTTCATGAAAGGGTGCTTCCATATGCAAAACTCTGTCTTCTTGTTCCTAAAGTGACCAAAAAGAGTCTACCTGAATGTGATACTTGAAAGTTGCAATTAAACAGTTTCGTAAAAAAGCTTTCACAATTTTGTATCTTGTGTAAAATCTTGAGCTTGAATATAAAAGCAAAAAGTAGGTAATTGTTTGGAAGATTAAAAAAGTTGTGTTGTGCACATTTCAAACCACAGTTACAGTACAATTATGTATGAAACAGTTTCTTAAATGTGTGTCTCTCATGATTGTAAGGATAAATTAGTTGCTGCTAATATTTAAAAAGCAAGTACTGGAAGATATACATGGATTTATATTGATATTTTTCTTTAGTATTTTTTATTAAAGATATACATGGATTCATATTGATATTTTTCTTTTGTATATATTTTTTTTGCTTGAAAACATTAATTAGGTGAATCCTGATGCAAAAGGTTTACGAGGTAAAATAATTGACATGCTTGATGAATTGGCAATAGTTTGTGGCAATGATTATGTAACTGGAGAATGGGCTAATTCAGCCAAAGATATAAATACTAAGAAGTCAAAACCAATGAATGACTGGGGAGGAATATACACCATTAGTGGACCTTAATGAAGAAGTTAACATGGATGACTTAGGTGATACAGAAGAAAATTATTCTGCTACTTTGCAAGGTAACGCAGGTAACATGATGAGTGGTATTTTCTTTTGCTTTGGCCCATACTTGAAATGCCTTAATTATTTGCACATACATCTTCTATTAATATTACTAACCCATTTTTTTTTTTATTTTTTTTTATAAAGGTAATGCAGGTAGCCAACCAACTGGATGTAAAGATAACCAATGAACTTCAAGCTCATCTAAACGTCGTTCGAAGAAACCGCGAACCACGGATAATGTTGCTGAAACCATGAGTACAATTTCAAATAACATAGCAAGATTAGCTGATGCATATGAGATGAGCAAGCCTTGCATAAATTATTCAGAACTTTATAAGGCTGTAATGGATGTTGAGGAGCTTGATCTCAGTAGCCGAATGACTTCATTTGAATTCTTGAATGCAAATCCTGTCAAAGCGAGAGCCTTTTTGATCTATCCTCCAGAGATGCGTTACTTATTCTTAATTAGATAACTGATACCAAATAGTCACTCTACTAATTAATGATTGAACTAAGTTAGCATTCTTATGAAGCACTTGGGAACCTTTGACTTGGTTATGTAATTCCTTTTTTTCTACTTAGTCTACTAAAGACATTGTCAAAAATTATGGTTAATGATTTGCCTTTGACTTGGTATTAACGGAAAGCTACTACTAGTGGTGTGTATCATCATTATTTTGTAATATTTTTATTTTTTGTTCAAGGAAAGGTTTTAGTATTATATGCTGTAAGAAATATTATACTACAGAGAAACTTAAAAAAAAAAAAAAATAACAATTCATATCTACCATCAAACATTATCTTGGAATAAATAATTAAATCTATATTATCTTAACATAATCCATCCATGACTTTTAATTTTTAACAAAAAAATAAATAAAATTAACATAAATTAGATATATATATAAAACGAATACAAGTTTATTTTCTCACCTTAAAAAATAAAAGATCGAGAATTCAAGTAAATATATATATACACACACACAATTATATAAACGAGAATGCAAAAAATTGTATTATGATATCACATGCTATTCTATTTCATATTTCACTTCCATATTTCACTAAGACTATTCCTCTAACACAAATTTATTTATTTTTATACTATTTAAAATTATAAGGGTATTTTCGGTAAGTGGAATCATTTTCTTTTCCTTTTCTGTTATCTAAACTATCAAAATAAGATTTTCTCACAACTTTCTTCAAAAAATTTCCCCCTAACCAAATGCATCATGGAAACTTAATTTTTCTTTTTTTCACTTTCACTTTCCATAAATTTTTTCGTGACCCTAAGAAAAATCACCCTCAATGGCTTTAGACAACCGAGAAAGTCAAATACCAAAGAGAGGCGTGATCTAAAGCGTTAGTACCATGGATCCAGCGTGGGTGGCCTTTGGACTCGCCCAATCCACTCCAAGCCCAAACCTGCTGCTTTCATATTAGGTTTAACTTTTATCGTATTGATGGATCGTGTCCCATTTGTGTAGATTTGTTAAACCTAACTCAAGTCCAAGACCTAGTCCACTCCAAATGATACGGCCCGTATCCAAAAGAGTCGAAATAACAAAAGCCCATAAAATATCAGCCCTATCCATATCGGTGATCTGGTAATTATCTAGAGCAAGTGCGACCAGGAGGATTGCACCAATCGTCCACCTTCGTGTACCAAATCAAAAATCTCCGATGAAGCAAGGACTTCTCCTATGGAGTCCTCGCCTCCTCCATTTTCTCTCTCTACAATCTTCTCCTTCTCTACCTCTCTCTACAAGATCACCCATTTACTGCACTCCAATCTCTGCAACACTCGAGTCCGTCAATGGAAAAACCCTGACTGCTAGAGAGAGAAGACAGCTGAGAAACGAGAGGAGAGAGAGCAAACCCAACTACAATTGGAAAGAAGAAGTAGAGGAGAGGCTCTTGAAGAAGCCCAAGAAGAGGTACGCCTCTTGGACCGAAGAGCTCAACCTTGACAACCTCGCTCTCTTGGGTCCTCAATGGTGGGTCGTCAGGGTTTCCAGGGTTTCGGGTCAGGACACTGCGGAACGCCTCGCTCGTACGTTGGCCCGTAATTACCCCAACATCGATTTCAAGGTAATTCATTTAACGTTGCACAATCTTCAATTTTGGTTTTGAATTACCAATTTGTTGTGAATTTGATTGTAATTTTGTTTTAACGTATTATGTGTGTGAGAGATAGATTTGATCAGTTTAATTGATGGACTATAATTTTTTATATAGACATTTCACTGCCTGATTTTCTAGATTATTTAAAGGATTAGTTCCCCAATTAATGTACAGACGTTGGTAGAAAGTTGCAATAGTTCAAAAACATATGATTATGAAATAATATGATTTAATTATTTTTTTGGAGCGCATAAGTGTGTGCTTTCTATTAATTATGGGTTGATTGGTATGAAATGTTATTCTATATTTTGGGATTTTGATCCAAATGTTAAGCCATTAATGGTTGTTTTTTTCAGTTGGAATTACACTCAAATTATTGAGATTCAATGAAGAAGCTGTTCCAATCTCATAGTGACCGTCTGGGATTTAGGAATTTCGTGAGAATAAAATAATTTGAATTCTGGAAGCTATTTGGGAAGATGTTGGGAACAATCTGGTGAAGTTTTTCAAAAAGAATTTATAAATAGTAGGATTGATATTTTAAGAAAATATGATATTTAGGAGGAATTATATATTATTCAGTAATAGTCACCTGTTAAAGTTATGGCAAGAAATTTTGGATGATTAGATAATCAATCTGCATTCTAATAATTTAAAGCTTGGGAGCTACTTGGGAAGCCATAGGAACAATTTTGTTGAACTCCAAGATGAATTATCGAACAATATATTTGGCTCATTTCAAGAAAATATGAATATGAAGTATTATTCAGTTTGGGAATTAAACTGAAAATTGTAAAAACCCTCTATAGAGTTTTCATTTATTTATGTTGGATTAGCAGTATCTATATGATGTAAATAAAGATTAATTTTTTTCTTAAACATGCCATTGGCAGTAATGGGCCTTAATTACGGGGGTGTTGGAAGCATTTGGGACGCCAAACATTGAACCACACAGTTGGAACTGAGAATTCGTACGTGCTTATAATCCGTTTTCATGTTTCCTCAGGTCTATGTTCCAGCAGTGCAGGTGAAAAGGAAATTAAAGAATGGATCTTACTCGGTTAAACCAAAACCCCTCTTTCCTGGCTGTGTGTTTTTGAGATGTGTTCTGAACAAGGAAATGCATGATTTTATAAGGGAATGTGATGGTGTTGGAGGCTTTGTCGGATCCAAGGTTGGAAATACGTAAGCATTTACTGTCATTCTTGTCACCTTTTTTATATTTTGTTTGAAAATTTTCTGTAAACTTTGACTAGTTTCTCCAATCTCAAGTAGAAGTACTAGATTTCATTACTTCTAGAGCTAGGAAGATCCTACAGTATAAAGTATGCAACATAGTAAAATATATTTTGAGTTTGTTGGGGTGGAAAATTTGCATGGACCTCTCATGATATTAGTAAAAGAAGTGATAAGAAATTGTTTCAAAAAATTAAATCTAGTAGAAGATATGACCCATAATAGAAAGGAGTGGAAAAAAGAGAATCATGTGGCCGACCCTGTCTGCATGGGATAAGGGCAAGGATGATGATGATGACAACGATTCTATGTCCTAACCATGGTTTAATTGGAGTCTCCTAGTTCACGGCTTCTAGGATATATATCTAATTGGTTTTGGGGCAAATTATACATTTTGACAGCACAATTAACTTGAATTTGAACTAGAAAAATCCAAATGAACTTGGAATACTTTCATCAGATAGATTATATGTCAACTGGGACAAAGGGTTCGCTTTCTTTTTCGATTGACTTGCTTCTTTCTATTAATTGTTTGTATTTCATGGCATACACAGACTACCCGTTAAGTATTCTGTCTGTCAGAACTATATCAGAAGGCAGTCTATGTTCATATTATTATTATTTTGCACTTCTTTACCAATTAATGTGAAGATATTGTTTATACATTTGCAGAAAGAGACAGATCAACAAACCCAGGCCAGTATCCGTTGATGACATGGAAGCAATCTTCCAACAAGCAAAGGAAGAGCAAGAAAAGACTGACCAAGCTTTCAAAGAAGAGCAGCAAAGAGAAGGAATCCTCGGCACTGAGAAACTGGATATAGTCTATATAGATTCTCAATCAGCTTCCAAAGATGTCACGACATCAGTTGTAGCTTCCAAGCCAAAACGGCGATCCAGAAAAGCTTCAAAGGCTCTTTTGGATGGCCAATCAACAGGAAGAGATGATAAGAATCTTTTTATAGGTTCATCTGTTCGAGTTGTATCTGGAACATTTGCTGAGTTCACCGCCACCCTTAAGAAGCTGGATCACGAGACAGGAAAGGTATGTTCTTGCCTTTGTGTTAAAAGGGATTTTTACGATTTTTACTTAAAAGGGATTAATATCAGGAATAACGACATATTTATTCAAATGGATCTGAAAATGTCCAAATAGCCTTAAAATCTATTAAAAATCCTCATAACTAATGGTGCTGTTTATGTATCAGGATACTGGATTTAATTCTTGAAAAACTTTCTTCTTGCAGGCAACTGTTGGATTTACCCTCTTTGGGAAAGAGACCTTGGTCGACCTAGATGTTAATGAAATTGTTGGTGGAACAAAGTAATTTAAAGAGTTTCTTTCCTGATATTTTTTTTCATAAGTTTTCTTGTGAGATTGATTCTATTTCTTTTAAGTAGGTAAAATGTGGAGCATTAGCAATCTAAAGACAAGATTTACTTAGGGTTCTCACTTGTGGAGTGGTTGATGACTTTCACCTATAGGGACTCGAAAAACCTGCCACAAACTAATGGCTGATGGTCAAATAAATTCAAGGAACGTTGTTTCGAACTAAAAACCTCCAAAGAATGTGGTTTTGGAAACAAGGTTGATGCAGAACAATCAGGGAGACCATATATGTGGTATGAAAATATGGTACCCAACTTGAAAATTGCCATTTAAACAGTGAGATGATGATGTTCTGCAATTTGATTGCGTTAAACATAAATGGACTAAATTTCACTTTATAGTTTTTCTTCTCTCTCCACAATCTCTCTACTCAAAGAGAGACTCGTGTACCACGCTATGGATTTTGGATTGTGGATTGGGTTTAACATTGAGTGAAAGGGCCTGGAGAGTGACCTGAGCCTTTGGATTGTGGCTTGGGTTTAACATTGAGTCCTGATAATTTGCAAATTTATCAAGTGGCTAAAATGTAGTGCATGATTGATTTTTCAAAAGCCGTAATTTCAGGCAGCAGAAAGTACAATGCAGATAAATCTATTAATATGAATACTGTATTTAAGAAACTGAGCAAGGACAACTAATATGGCCTACAGCTACCCGGAGTACTCCATTCTCTCTTCCCGGAGATTGGCAACCGGAAGTTGCAGCAACTTACATCCATTACCCAAAACCACTCCCCATTACTCAAGTCAATCATCACATGTCTTGAAGTTCTTCCTCTTCATCCTCGTAATCTCCCTCCTCATCTGCTGTTGCATCCTGGTATTGCTGATACTCTGAAACCAAATCATTCATGTTGCTTTCGGCTTCAGTAAACTCCATCTCATCCATTCCTTCCCCAGTATACCAATGCAAGAAAGCCTTCCTCCTGAACATGGCCGTGAACTGCTCACTCACACGCCTGAACATTTCTTGAATAGACGTTGAATTTCCAATGAAAGTCGACGCCATTTTCAATCCTGTGGGTGGGATATCACAGACGGTGGATTTGACATTGTTGGGGATCCATTCCACAAAGTAGGAAGAGTTCTTGTTCTGAACATTGATCATCTGCTCATCAACCTCCTTGGTGCTCATCTTGCCCCTGAACATAGCCGATGCTGTCAAGTACCGGCCATGGCGCGGATCTGCTGCACACATCATGTTCTTGGAATCCCACATTTGCTGAGTAAGTTCCGGCACTGTCAGTGATCTGTACTGCTGGGAACCACGGGAAGTGAGAGGTGCGAAACCCACCATGAAGAAGTGGAGCCGAGGGAAGGGGATGAGGTTAACAGCAAGCTTTCGAAGGTCAGAGTTCAGCTGACCAGGGAATCGTAGACAGCAAGTGACACCAGACATTGTGGCCGAAATCAGATGGTTCAGATCACCAACTGATCATGATCACACAAAATCAATCAAAGATCAGTAACACAACCACAAACACAAACACAAAACAACATTCACATAAAGTGAAAACAAATCAAGCACATCTTACAGCTGGGAGTGGTGAGCTTGAGGGTTCGGAAGCAAATGTCATACAGAGCCTCATTGTCAAGAACCATGCACTCATCTGCATTTTCAACCAATTGATGGACAGAGAGTGTTGCATTGTAAGGCTCCACGACCGTGTCAGAGACCTTTGGTGAGGGAAAGACGGAGAAAGTAAGCATCATTCTGTCCGGGTACTCCTCTCTGATCTTCGAAATCAAAAGGGTTCCCATTCCAGAACCAGTCCCTCCTCCTAGTGAATGACACACCTGAAAACCTGCAAAATCAAAACAACATCAACATACAAGCAATATAAGCACATATTTATACATACATATATATGGTGAAGTTTGAGGAACAAACCCTGCAAGCAATCGCAGTTCTCGGCTTCTTTGCGAACAACATCGAGAACAGAATCTATTAGTTCTGCGCCTTCGGTGTAATGGCCTTTAGCCCAGTTGTTTCCGGCACCAGATTGGCCAAAAACGAAGTTATCTGGACGGAAGATCTGACCATAGGTTCCAGATCTGACACTGTCCATAGTTCCAGGCTCAAGGTCCATGAGAACAGCTCTGGGGACAAACCTCCCACAACTGGCCTCATTGTAGTACACATTGATCCTCTCAAGCTGAAGATCGGAGTCTCCCTGATATCGTCCGGTGGAATCGATCCCGTGTTCGGCACAGACCACTTCCCAGAACTTTGCCCCAATTTGGTTGCCGCATTGGCCTCCTTGGATGTGAAGAATCTCACGCATATTCGCTCGAGATGAAGATTTAGAGAGAGAAGGAAAAGGGAATTTAGAGAGAGAAGATTTGAAAATTGAAAAGGTAGGAGGAGAGATGGAGAGAAATGAATGAAGATGAAAGGTAATGTGGGGACGGAGGAATATTTATATATAGAGAGTTTGTTCTAAACGGTTCAAATTGTTATGTTACTTGTATTTGAATTTGAAGCGGGATGAGTTGGTTTACTCAACTTTCAAACGGATAGTAAAACAACGGTCATGTTGAGTTTGCATATAACGGAGACAGCTGTTTCCAAATTCAAATCCAGAGGACAGCCGGATGCCACTTCAAATTTACTGTCTTTTTTTATTTATTTTTTGTTTAAATAATTGCTTTTTAGATCTGTTATAGCGCGTGGCCAACAAATTTTCTTTTTCAAAATTTTCGACTTTTTATGGAAACATGTGTAATGAATGCATTATTGGTTCTTGAAATTACTAAGCTCCTGTTTGATTTTTAACTTTGGGAATACTTTAGATTTTTTAAATAAAATAAGTATTTTTGAAAAATAAAAATGAAAAGAACAACTAATAAGGACAAATATACTGGTGAGTAACACAATGGTACTAGGGATGAAAAGATTATAAAATTAGTATGGTCTCGAATCCGTTAATAATTACAAAATATTATATAAATAAATATTATCTTATTAGCTATAATTGTTTTTTCTTTAATTTTCATAATAATTATAAATTTTAACAACATTTTTGTTATTATGATTGTTAAACATTTGACTATACGACTAAAAAAAAAAAGTTACGAGAATGGTTCAAACCAATCACAATCTTGATGCTGGGCCTTCCTAATCAAGATCGTAAAAAACATTTTGGTGGCAAAACGGATTTGGAAAATAAGTGCCCCGTCGATGTTGACATGCAGTAGTCTTCTTGAACCTCGGATTTTAAAGTATGAGATGGTCTAAATGGAGCAACCATGCAAATTTGAGCTCATATCTGCATCTTAATATTGGGGTTGATATCTTAATCCAAATTGATTAAGATGGTACAAATGTAACATTTTAGCCAAATAACACATGGATAATTCAATAATCTTAACAATTTGAGACAATTTATTTTAGAAAAATGATATTAGTGACGATTTCAATACAACGACTTAAAATCGATAGAGATAAAAATATGACATGATTATTTTAAAATTCTAACTTAAATATGTATCATTACTACTTTTGTTTGTTTGTTTATTATTATTACTTTTTTTAAATATACATCACATTCCCCTTCCTTTATCTTTTCAGTTTTCCATAACCCTTTCCTTATCTTTTTAATTTTTCATATATAGCCTATCATCTTTTTTTCGCATCAAGTTTCATGGTACTAAAATTTAAGAATTTGATTTGTACAAAATCCACAACAAAATCTATAATGTTCTTACAATTTTTCAATGCTTTGCAATTCTTTTTTATTTATTTATTTTTATTTTTATTATTTTTATTTTTATTTAATACATCTCCTTATTTTTGTTTCTACGAGTCAAATGGATCATTAGCTTTGATCATTATAGATTCAATCTTATATATAACGAGGGATACACAATCTAATTAGATATATGAGTAGCAATATGAAGTATCTAAGAGTCCTTGGATAAATGCAATGTGATGTAAAACTGAGACACAATTTGATGTACATGGTTAATGAAACTTTAATTGTTAACAAAGATAATAGATTAAAATAAAATTTAAAAAAGAACTACAATTTTTTAAATAATTAATTCTATTTTAAAATGTGTTTCATTATATTTGACATATAAGTAGTCACACTTTATTTTATTACTCTCTTTCCAATTTAGATGTCATTTTGGAAAGTAAGAATTTTTAAGGGTACACGTGGGATATGCCTTGTTTCTCTGAAAAGTTACTTCTTTGCCTTTCTAAGTTTTAAATATTTAAGTTTGAAATTTTAGATTCTAAGGACATATTTGAAAAGATGTAAAATAAATTATTTAAAGAAGAAAAGTGACAATTATTTTGGGATAGACTAAAAAGGAAAGTATGATATTTTTTTTGAAACAGAAGAAGTAATATTTTACAAAAGAAGTTGTCAACAGGTGTAATAATTCATGAACTCTTTTATTAGAGCCAGATTAATAAATGTATTGTAAAATTACTTTGGAACTTTGTTTCTTTATTTATAATTCTCGAACATTTTTAATTGGATGATCAATAAAGAGAATCACAAGTGAAATACGGAGTATCTCGACAATCTTATTCTTCTTTTAAAAATATTTACTCCCTTCATATAAAAATAAGACTTTGTTTCCTTTCTTGTATGAACAGACGACTCAATTTTTGCTAGTACTACAACCTATCGTATGAAGTGATATAACCCATAGTAGGTGACAATTTGGTGACCGTAATACATCCGAAATTTCGCATACCATACAATGAATCACATCAAAATTTTAAAGTGATTTGTCACTCAATAAACAATTATTTTACAATAGTTTGAGCTATATATATATTTTTAAAACATTAAAATTTTATATGATTGTTAGCGCTCAACTTTTAAAAAGAAAAAGAAAAAAAAAAAATATATATATATATATATAAAGATGAAAAGGAGGATAAATCTGATGGGTGTCAGTGGAATTAAACATGCCAATTATTATAAATAAATAAATAAATAAAGGGTTAATTTTACTGACACCCCCAAATTTTGTCAAATACGTAATATAACCTTCAAACATTTTTTTAAATTAACTACTATCACTAATACCCCAATTTCTTGGTTACTTTTTTAGTTAAAAGGTTGCAAAATGACAATTTTATTCCTATTTTTTTAATCTATTTTAATCCAAAATATCAAAATCCCCCCCCCCCCCCCCCCGGTCCCCCCCAAAAAAAAAAATAACTCTTCATATCTCACTCTTTTGCTACCAATTTGCAATATCTCTCTATAAATAATATAAAATATGTATATATAATATAAATTATATATATATATATATATATATATAGATTTAGCAAACACAATCAGTGATAGACCCAGAAAATTTTAATTTGTGGGGATAAACTTATATAGTGGGTCCATTTTTGTAATTTCAATGGAGTTTTCTTCATAAATTTTCAAAAATTTAAAGTATAAAATACAAAATAAAAAATAAAAAATCTGTGGGGGCGAATTGTTATTTTAGTGGGACATCTTCATAAATTCTTAAAAATTTGAAGTATAAAATGCAAAAAAAAAAGAATCCAGTGGGGGTGAATTGTAATTTTAGTAAAAATAAAATTCCAGTAGGGGCATTCGCTCCCACTAGTCCCATGTTGAGTTCGTGCCTAAACACAATAATGGTATGAGATCGCGAATTTTGATCTCGGATGATTTAGGCGCTGTTATAAATCACTTTATTTTTTCTACTTATCATTTTCTTTGAAACCCCCAATTAACCAAAGCCTTGTGTGTGCGCGCGCGCGCGTGTATATATAAGGTTGCAATAAGACTTTCTGATTAGGTCAGAACGTAACTTTGGTTTCGATTGAACATTTATTTATCCAACAAGGAGCTTTGATTTTGTTTGTCTCATCGATTTGAGTCTGTTGAAGTTTACGAATTTTGGGTTTATTGAAGCTCACCGATTTGGGTATATTGAAGCTCATTGATTTTGGGTCTAACTGAGGCTCATTGATTTTGGGTCTAACTGAGGCTCCTCTCTTGTCGGCGCAATACTCCTCCTCGTTTTCACCACCGCCATAACAAAGGTCTCATTGGTGGAGAACAAGCTTTGGCATTTAATTGTCAAATATTGCCTTTGTTTAATGTAACTACCTCCTCACTGACTTTGGTCGTTGCCAGCTGTTGGAGCTTCTTTGCTGATAGTAATGAAGGAGAAAAAAAAAAAAAGAAAATAGAAAGGCCAGTTTCTTTTTTAGGACAACCAATGTTTCTTGTTTTTTCTTCGATCTTTGAATTGAAAAAACAGATAAAAAAAAATGATATGATTCAACCCCAGACCCATTTGAATGTAACGGAGCAGGGTTCGAGAATTGATGTGTATTCAAATCATTGGTGACGACAGTTACGAAGAAGAAGAAAATAAAATTATATATATATATATATATATATATATATATCATTATGTACGCCAACTAATTTATAATTATTTTTTAAAAATTATTCTTTATGTGTGTGTGTGTATATATATATATAAATAATTTTAAATTTATATAAGGGTAAAGTACAATGACACCCCCTGAGGTTTGGAGTAAGGACAGACAGATACAAGTTAGCCTATTTTTGGACAATGACACCCCCTGATAAGATTTGCAGTCCAAATATAGCCTAAAAATATGTGAAAAGTCTACTTTACCCTTCATTATTTGATTAATTTTAATGATAAGGTATCAAAATAATTAGAGGACCAAATCACCCTTTTCCTCTCTCTCTCCCTATATATATATATATATAATATATATACTATACGCATACTTGTTTGGACAAAAAATACTAAAATTAGCTCCAATTGACTATTTGTGTCATCTTTTACATCCACCATTAAAGCCCTAAGCCAATGAAATCCAGTTAGATTTCGACAAAACCAGATAATGGACACTCTTCGTCTTGAAGTCCCTGTTAGCAATTTTACTTTTCTGATTCACTGTAGTCACATAAATTGAATTTGAAGAGTCAGCTCACTCAAATTTAAACCCATTCACAACAAAAACTTAATTTTTCAATTCTCTGGAAAATCCAATTTTGTTCGTCTCCTTCACGTCCGTTGTAGTGTTGAGGCCACCGATCATCACCACTATCACCATCAGTTTTGTTCGTCTATGGATTTCTTGTGGGAACACTTGGAGCTGTGCTGTTGTTCGCCGTTGCGTCGTGAATTCATCGAAGAATTCGGCATCGCCGGCGGAATTAATTGGAGACCTCCAATCCCGTACTCGTAAATTTCAAATCAAACACACTCCAAGATTCGTGAAATACACTCCAAGATTCGTAATTCTGAAGATAAATTTTAAATTTTCAAATCAAACCGTGTGAACCCATAACCACCACCACTACCACTCTGTATTCCGGCGTGCCAACATGACCACCAACATTGCCTTTCGTCTTCTACCATAGCAAAATCCACCATTGCCCTTTTACTGTCGTGCTCACCCCTTCATTGCCGTTCACTCCTTGCTCGTCAGAACCGCTGCTGGGCTTTGTTGCAGTCGATACGTGCATGCGGATTTGATCGACCTCCATTTTTTCAGGGCTTTGTTACAGCTCCCTCATCATCTTAGTGGTAGTGGTAGTGAATACATAGTGGTGGGTGGTTTTGGGGATGGAGACGTTGGTGGGTTTGAAGGAGAAGCAGTGGCGACTTTGTTTAGGTTAGGGTTAGGGTTTGAGAGGAGAAAAAGAACAAGCGAGTGAGGAGACATAAAAAATGGGTTTTCAGATGGGTTGTACCTGGTAACCCACTTACACCTATTTGATCCAAGGGCATTTTAGTCAATCAAAAATGGTTGTATGGTTTAAATTGATAATTTAATGTGTCAAAGGGTAGCAAAGTCAATTCACCATTATTAGGGTGTCTTTGTCCACTTTATCAAACCTGAGGGGGTGTCATTGTCCAAAAATAAGCCAACTTGTATCTGTCTACCCTTTCCCCAAACCTCAGGGGGTGTCATTGTCCTTTACCCTTTATATAATGAAGGTCAAAGACTATTTAAGTCATTTCAACCATTTTTTAAGTCCACATATAATTAAAAGGGTATATTATTTTGTATACCAACTAATTTATAATTATAAATTTATAATTATTTTAAAAAAATTATTCTTTATATGTATGTGTGTGTATATATATATATATATAAGAATAATTTTAAATTTATATAAGGGTTAAGTGCACTAAACCCCCCTGAACTTTGTTCTCTTTCTCAAAAAACCCCATGAACTATGAGATAGACATTTAACCCCCTAATCTATTCTCTTTGTTGCAAAAAATCCAACTCCGTTAGTTAGCCATCTCATATTTTACGTTAGCCAGAGGCACGTGAACTATGTGCCTTTGCCAAAATTTAAAATCACATATATACCCTTATCACTGTTTCAGACCATTATATATCACTATACACACACACACACACACACACACACACACAACCTTTATATAAACATTCGAACCAAAATCCCCAAATTAAAAAAACCCTAGTATGCGATTCTCCATTAGCAGCAAATCCTCTCTCCTTCACTATCCTGAACGGACTCCTCCATGCTGCCATTTGACGCTCATGTCTCTGTCTCAGTTTGGGTATCTAGATTTTCCTCCTCCACCACAACTTTGCCATCCCCATCGTCCATAAAAGCAACAGAAAACTTTGCACCAGCGAGTTGTCCATCTTCTATCCCCCGATCATACTCCTCTGCACTTCCTTCTGCCCCTTCCACCTTCATCTCAAATTGGGTGTTCAAATTCTCCTCATCTGCCATAGCTTTGTCATCCCCATATTCCAAAGAAGCAACCAAGGACTCTACACCAACAAATTTTACTTTTTTTTCTATCTCCTGAACAGAGCTCTCTATTGCCTTTTTGCCATCGTCTCTATCTCCATTCCAAAGTCCACCATCAGATTCTTTTCCTCTGCCACATCTTTGTCATCCTCATTGCTTGTAAAACAAATTGAGGTTTCAGCCCTAATAATTTCTGCAATTTCAAGCTCCTGAACGCACTTCTCTCCACTATCTTTTGCGATCTGGGTCTCCATTTCAAAGTCCACCTTCAGATTTTATGGTGTTATGTGCGTTGATTTTTTGGGTTTTTGTTTTTGAGATTCTCCTTGCAGTAGCTCATGAACCCAACTAAACATAGCTTTGAGTGGGTTTAGCACGGGGTATTGAGAGAGATCGCTTCACACAAGTAGAAAGGAGGAATTGTTTGGTGCCGGTTTAGAGAGAGGGTTTAGCGCCATATATCAATATAGCGGAAGTAATTGTGATAAAGTAATAATTACAATGTGTTGGCATTTTTTATATTGAAGATTGAAATTGTATTTGTCACCTTAGCAGCACAAGTTTCACATAACTCAAAACGACGTCATTCAGAGTAAGGGCTAATAGGTAATTTGATTATTCCATTAACGGTTGGTTGAGAAATTGTCATTAACTGCAACATTCTTATAGTTTAGGGGGTTATTTTTAGCTTAGGGGGTTTCTTGCAATTGACTCATAATTTAAGGGGGTTTAATGTACTTTATCCTTTATATAATGAAAGTCCAAGGCTATTTAAGTCATTTCAACCATTTTTTTAGTCACTAGTTAGTTAGAAAGATAACAATATCATTTTATATGAAAAAAACATCTGACACAATTCAAAAGTAGAATGTAAGTGAAAAATGGATCAAACGGTTTGTACTGCATAATTATTTTTGAAAGATATTTTAATATGATATTTAGTCAAAACTGAAGAGGGGTCAGTGAAATTAACTTTAAAAATTGTTATATGATAAACAGTTATGACACGGTAATTAAAAAATAACTCCATGTTATTTAACTTTTTTGCTTGCATGTCGACGAGTTTATCAACAGAGACCGTATAGTAATTTCCCATACACGCGCTTGTGTTTACTGCTGTAATAAATCAGTTGCTGTATAAATGTGAGCTTGTGACGTTGAAAAAACAAAAACAAAAAAAATAAAATTGTGATGTACCATTGTAAATATCGTGGAGACATGAAGTCCACACATGCATACTTTACCTCCCGCCACTCGTAACAGACCAACCAATTCACAATTCCCAACATCACAAACCTATCTGCAAAATCTTCATCCACACCTCTATATCAGTAATCTATACATACATAACCACTCAAATTCAGGATGGGTATGGTTCTCGGAAAGATCTGTGTCGAAACCCCGAAATTCGAAGTCATTCAATCAACAAACGAGTATGAGATCCGAAAATACTCACCTTCTGTTATTGCCGAAGTCACCTACGATCCATCCCAATTCAAAGGCAACAAAGACGCTGGTTTCACCATATTAGCCAATTACATCGGTGCTCTGGGCAATCCCCAGAACACCAAGCCAGAAAAGATCGCCATGACGGCTCCGGTGATAACCAAATCGTCGGAGAAGATTGCGATGACAGCTCCGGTGGTGACCAAGAGCGGAGGAGAGGGGGAGAAGAAGATGGTGTCCATGCAGTTTATACTGCCTGAGAAGTACAAGAAGGCAGAGGAGGCGCCAAAGCCGGTGGATGAGAGGGTGGTGATAAGGGAGGAGGGGGAGAGGAAGTTTGGGGTGGTGAAGTTTAGTGGGTCGGCGACGGAGGAGGTGGTTAAAGGGACGGTGGAGAAGATGAAGGAGAGCTTGGGGAGAGATGGGTATAAGGTGATTGGGGAGTTCTTGTTGGCAAGGTACAACCCTCCTTGGACTTTGCCTCCTTTTAGGACTAATGAGGTCATGATACCTATTGAATGAATTTTGAGAAGGGATAACATATAAGTGAGTTGTATTTGTATCTCTGTTATTGTTGTTAGACTGATAAATAAGACATGTTTGTTTTTGTTATGTTTGGATGGATCGACTCGGCCTATCACTCACTCCTTTGAAATTGGCACTCAAAACAGAGTGGGGTTTTTGTTGCTCTCCAAGAATTGAGCATTTAATTTCCAGGGATGTCCGTCATTAAGGGCTTAAAAATGCCCTAATTCACTCACTCCTATACAGAACTCTGCATAAAAAGCAAAACTTGGGTATGGAGTTTATTAGTCCGAGTAGAAGAAAATAATGGGATTAATCAGCTAGGAAGATAAATCTACAGACTCTGTCCAGATGAGCAATACTGAATAGATTCAGATGCCTAATTCAAAAGATATAGCTTAAAATAATTACATCAATCAATCGACCAACAATACTGAATTGTTATTGATTAAAAATAACAACAGAAAAATATAGATAAAATTTGAAGTCTGAAAATAACCCGCCCCAGAGCAAAGTAAGTTCTTCCAAAAAGCAATGCAAATCTAATCTGCACTCAAATACAATAGAACTGTGCATCAGACTAAAAATGGGTGTTAGATTTTTAAAAATTCAAAGCCACATGTTTGGAAGACATATATGCAAACTGCTAACAAAAGATCCTGTTCACTGTGTAGGTGTAAAATTTCGCTCAACCAATAATGATTAAGAAAAATAAAACAACTCGCTCAATCAATAGTAAAAATAAACAAGAATAATATATGTCGAAACGTAGAATTACTTGATCCCTTATTGGAGGTCTAAGCCTCTATTTATATACAAAAGACTGTAAAATTATGGTAGGACTCGCGGTGCTTGTTCTCCAATTCTTTCTATATAAACATTCTTTACTAATGGAGTTCTTTCCATTGTCTAATTTTCCATACATAGAACTTGCCTTGTACAGAACTTCCTATCTCATAATTATCCTTCTACGGTAAATCCTTCAACTGGTAGGACTTGTGCATTCTTGAATAACTAGGCTGAACATACTTTGATCCGGCTGGGCTTGAGTCACGGACCGGATGTTAAATATTAACAAGTTGGGCTGATGACCTCTTGATTCGGCCTTGATGGAGGTTGGAAGACAAATAACAATGGTCTTGGGCTAAAAATACACTCAATTTGGGCTTGAGCATGACGGGCCTTATATGTCCTTGGAATGTAGATATGTGTAGTGACGACGTGTACGCTTCTTATTGGAGGGCGTTTTTTTCCTTCCACACTTTGCCCCAAATTTCATTTTTAATTGAGTGACGACTCCCATTAAAGAGGGAATTGAAACCGATTTTTTACTTTGCTTCAGAGACGGTGTGATACCCCTCGAATCCGAGACACGGGTTGATCAGGCCCAGGCCCAAACCCGAGGGAATATCAAACAATTAATATTTTATAACGAACACAGAATACAAAATGAATTAAGAAATGAAAGTTTAAAGCTGAAAAGAAAACTAAAAGAAAATCCTTAAATAATTAAATACTTAAATTTGATAAACCAAATATCCATAATTTGAACAACTCGGGAATCCATCTCTAGTGGACCCCTAATAAAAATCTCACACTGAATGAAAGTAAAATGAAAGATAAAATCCAAATCCAAGATCTGGAAAGAAATCCTACATCGTCGGTAGAATGGAAGATCGTCTCTACTCAGCACGAACAAGCTCAAGCCTGAAACTGACGTACACCTGAAAAATAGGAGTGGGTCAGGCTCACGAACAAGTTCTAACCTACTACAATCCAAGCAGAGACTCGATACGTATGTACATACTAAATAGTTCAACAATAACTAATAATCCGTACATAAATATATCCACACTACTGGACTATCGCTAGGCCATGAAGGGGGTCTCAACCTGGATAGAAGGCATCACACAATACGCACCTGAGTGGGCATGAGTACCTAAACCTAAACAGGGTATACCTCAACCTTCACAGTCAGCTACACATCCAACTGCATATACGCACCCTAACCGTCGACACTGAGACTCAAGCTCATGACACGGTAACATAAAAATATATCTAAACTCCGTTTCTAACCATCCACAAGAAATCCAGAAAGTCACTCGGCGTATTCAACCGTACCGACTTATATATATAAGGAGGATTGTATTTTATAACCCGTGCCCTTACTCCAAAATAGGTAGGACTTAGCAATTTGAGCTAATTCAAACCTAGTATGTCACCGTCCCATACCGGTACATACAATCCAATCCGTCCGATAGTTGATAAAGCATATACAAATACATAACAATATCAACGAGTCCATATCAAGCATATCAGAATGCAGTAACAACCGTTCTTGAATAGTCCCAACAAATTGATTAACATTGGAAACATAAATATCAATATTAATTACTCTATTTCACGCATTTAAATAATTTATAAATGCCAAAACCAACAATTCCAACCTAACCATGTTAGAATAGATTAACCATCATGCTTTAATAAATCCAACCACTGATTAAGTACCAACAGTATCAGTGTCAAAACCCACAGTTCCAAACTAAGCACATTAAAGTATACTAGGAAAACATGCTTAATTAATCCAGCAATAAGCCATTACCGGATCACCCACAGGACTGTGTCTGTAAATATAAGTTTATTCCCGGTATCCATAATTAACAGAGCTTAAACAAATGTTATAATATTTATTTCTATGGCATGCATAATAAATCTAGACAATTTATCATACTGTTAAGCTCCTATTCAACACAATTGACGAATTAAATGTTAAGTTTAATCATCAATTAATCTTTAGCAAAAATACAAATTCCTTGTATGTAGGTATACTCTAAGAATTTGCAATTAGCAGTGCACAAACTCTCACAAGAAATTTTACATTATAATCTGGAAGTTAGAAACTCCAAACCCACACAAGTCTGCAAGACATTCGTAATTAACTCCATGTAATCCTAACGACTAATGCTTTGTGTCCAATTCTATGTTAATCCGATCTTTGCATATTTATGTTTATTCTAGACCACTCCTAAACCATCCATTACAGTATTTATTCTCCACTAAAACATATTAAAACAATCACTAGGAAGCCTAATCACTGAAAATTGGAAAAACAACCAACAGACCCAAAAACCCACGAATAAACAACCTGGAGCCGGCTCCAGAATATTGGAGCCGCCTCCAATGGCCCTGGAGCCGGCTCCTAGACCATTGGAGCCGCCTCCAGTCCAAGGAGAGCCGGCTCCAATCCAATAGGAGCCGGCTCTCTCCCTCCTCTTCTTCGTGTTCTCCTCTCCGGTCGCCGTTTACGCCTCCGATACTTCACAGTATAGGTTTTCAGAGAGTTTAACTTAATCCCAGAAGATTCCAACCCTTAATTCAGTCCTTATTATGCTACTAATATGGATTAAATCAAGAATTAAACAAGAAAGTTCAAAGTTTAAACAGTTTACAATTTTAAAACAAATTCAGTTTCAGTGAAACTCTGAACATGAAACAGCTAACGTTTTTATTTTTTTAAAACATGTAATTCATCCTGGAACTATTGAGTATGCAAAGAACACGAGTATAAGGGAGAGAGTAAGGTTAGAACTTGCCTTTTGAGATTTTTGTTAAAAATCTCTACGTTGTCTTCTACGATCTCCGGCGATTCCTACTACAACTTCCTCTGTTCCTCGTTTCTAATTCCACAGACGTGTTTTGGTTTTATTATTTTTTTCCCTAAGCAGACTTATTTTATATATTTATAAGAATGTAATACCCCTAATTTTCAAAAGGATAGTCTCGGTAATTTGTTTAATTGTTTTCTGTTCATTAATTGTTTTGAATTATGTTTTAATTGACTTTTTAATGATTTGATTTACTTGACTTATTTGTGTTATTTGAATTAATTAGTTAGTTTATTTGTTTTCTTTGGTTTAATTAATTATTTGAATTATTTACATTAATTGTGATAATTGTGATTATTTAAGTTAATTGTTTTAATTATTTATTTGGCTTTAATTCTCTGTAAATTGTATGTTATTTTCTGTTTTACGGTTAACTTGGAATTTTTATTGTTTCTTTAATTGAATTAGTAATTACATGTTTTAATTTATGGCTAGGTATAAAAGTGTGGTTAGGGTTTTAGTTCTGTTTAGGTTTAATTTAATGAGCCGACAGGGTTTATAAACTAGGTTGTGTTTATGGGCCGCGTTTCAGACTTTAGATATAATTGGACTTAGGGTTTTGGTTTTATTATTTTTTTCCCTAAGCAGACTTATCTTATATATTTATAGGCAACCAAAACTTATCGTGCCCCAATCAATTACGCTCCCCATCCCGCGCAAGTTCGGGAAATTAGGTATAGAATACTTAACGTCCCTTCATACCAAGTGTTCTGGCTGTTTTCCTTGCCAAGTCTTAATGTTTCGCCGTACTTATAAGTTTCTTGGTGTTTTTTCAGCTACATTCCCATCCTCCGCAGCAAGGAACAGACTTTCTTTTCTTGAGGAACGAGTCTGGAGTGACCCCTCGCCTATCGAGGACCTGCTAACTTCTTCAAACCTCAAGGATATTGCCTTTAGTGCTGTTGCTGCAGACCTCATGGATCTGTCTCTACCATCCTTTGATAGTTTCCCCATGACTGAGGAGGAGATACGGAGGGCTGAGGCTTTAAAAAAGAAAGCCGAAGATGCCCAACCCTTGGTCGTTATTAGGTCTACTGAGGATGAGGTGGAGGCTGAGGAACCACCAAAGAAGAAATCTCGCCCCAACCCCCCATCCTCTGGCAAGGGCAAGGTCCCTTCTAAAAGCAGAGGGAAAAAGGCTGGAGAGGCCGAACCTGAAGATGAAGTCAGGGCATATGTTCTGGCTGAAACTGGGGCTCCTTGGACTCCTTCCTTCACCAGGGCTGACAAGTCAGTCCTACATTCAGGGGATTCTGTGATCACAAACCCTTCAGCTGCACTGGCTGTGGCCCGAGGGATGTGGCTCCCAAAGGACGAGGAAGCCATCAGCCAAATGGGATTGGAACAGCTACTCCCCTCTGCCCCGGTCCGGGCCATAGAGGTTTGTATTGCTCCTTCAGAATTATGTTACTCTTGCTTACT